AAAAAAAAAAAAAAATGAATGGACTTTATATGAATTTTATTCAGGTTTACTCCACTTCATAAAAGGCACATCCACAATTATATAAAGATAAGCTCCCCCTGACCCCTTGAGCTTCTGTAGATCTACAGAAGGAAAATGCTCTTAGATAATTAGAATCCCTATTGTTTAACTGAAAAGACCTGTAAAGCATAAACATAAGCTGTTTAGAGGGTCTTCTGTCTCATGGAGTGTCCCTCTGAGGAATACCTAATAATTTTCTCAGGTCTCTATGTAGACTTTGTAATCACACTTCCTTGTCATCTCTAGATCGTGTTTCCTGGAATTTGATCTTTGCTTAGAAATGTGATTTCTTCATGTTTGCATTGTTCACCATCTGGAGAGATTGGAATTGAAAGAGCATTTTACTTTAAAATTCAGTAATGCCTGGCTTCTTCATTCGTATAGTTCTTTAGCTTCTTCTCTCCCATTTTTTTTTTTTCTTTTACTACAAACATAAGATGCCAGGCGGTTCCTTCAATACTTAGACCTGGAAATATCCTTGGCTAGATTATACAATTTCATTTAAGTATATCTTTTTATTTTCCATATTATCACAAGCAACAATGTTGCTAAACTTTCCACCAGAACATAGCGAAGATCTAATTTTCTCTCATTTCCGATAACACTTTCCTCACCTTCCTTTAAGTCATTACAGCTCCTCAAGAGCCATCAAGCTTCTTTTAAGGCCTGTCCCACTAACTTGCATATTCTGGTCCCTAAATCACTGCCACATTTTTAGGTTTATGTTATAATTCTCTGCCAATATCAAATTCTTTTTTTTTTTTTTGGCTCTAAAGTATTCTATTTTATTTTATTTTCAATTTTTATTTCCATAGGTTTTAGGGGAAACAGGTGGTATTTGGCTACATGAGTAAGTTCTTTAGTGGTGATCATGAGATTTTGGTATACCTTAGCGGTATACAATGAACCCAATTCGTAGTCTTTTATCCTTCACCCCTCTCCCACTCTTCCACCCTGAGTCCACAAAGTCCACTGTATCATTTTTATGCCTTTGCATTCTCATAGCTTAGCTCCCACTTATGAGTGAGAATGTACGATGTTTGGTTTTCTATTCCTGAGTTACCTCACTTAGAATAATAGTCTCCAGTCCCATCTGGGTTGCTGTGAATGCCATTAATTCATTTAATTTTATGGCTGAGTAGTATTCCATTGCGTGTATATATATTAAAAAACACATGTTTATAGCAGCACAATTCACAATTGCAAAAATATGGAACCAGCTCAAATGCTCATCAATCAACGAGCAGATAAACTATGGTATATATACAGTGGAATACTACTTAGCCATAAAAAGGAGTGAATTAATGGCATTCACAGCAACCTGGATGGCATATCCAAACATCAAATTCTTTATTTGATATCTATTGTTGCATAACATATCACCTTAGAATTAATTTCAAACCCTGATGAATATTCATTACCTCTCCTGGGCCACTCCGGAAGACTATGTATGATGACATGGTGATTAACTTTCCACAAATTAAGCAATCTCAGAGACCAAGTTGCAGAGTTTTCTATTGTTCACAGAAGTCAGGCCTAACTGGTTATAGAAGGGGACAAAAAAAGGGTGTGAAATCAGGAGCCAAAGATTAATGATGTCCATCTTGGAATATTTAAAGATAATGTATGGAAAGAAAAAACTTAATGAATAT